AGCCTTATGGAGACTTATGAAATGCTGCTGGGGGCTGGGGGGGGGGGCAAAAAATGGCCCATTTGTTGCTTATTTCTGCCCTCCCCAGCCCCCAGGAGCTCTCTGAAAGCCTCCATAAGGGTATGCACGGCCATTTTGGTGAAGGGGCAGGGGTTCAGGAGGCAAAAAATGCTGTATTCAGTGTATAAGACGCACCCAGATTTTCAGCCTGAGGAAAAAAGGTGCGTCTTATACTCCGAAAAATATGGTAATATAGCAGTGTTTGAGATGTGAACCCTTCTGAATTTTCAGTATTTCTACATAAAAATGACCTAAAACATGATTGGTTCTCTACACAAGCCCTAAAGCCAGATAATTGAGAATGATCTAATGTACATATTTGTGTGTATCAAAAGTATGAGAACTTGTAGGGTTTATCCGTTCATTTAAAGGGGAAATTAGAATCAGGGGTTTCAATCAATAGAATAATAATCAGGTGTGATTATGGGAGGTATATGGAAGTGTATCCTAGCTCTAACAAAGGAGATTTCTGAAACACAGTTATTAATGCTCACTAGGCTGGAAAAGCTTACAAAACTAGTTTGGACTCCACCAATGCACTGTCAGTGCGATTGTGTAGAAATGGAGGCAATTCAACACTATTGTTACCCTCCCTAGCAGGGGCCAACCAACCAATATCACACCAAGAGCTATGCATGTAATACTCTGGGAGATCTGAGCCTGGTGTTATTCGAACTGCCAAATTGCAGGCTGCAGGCAGCCGGCAGAAGTAGCCTACAGTACTGCATTCACCACACTGTGCCACCACGGCACTTTTAATTAATAAATTAATGAACAAGTATACTTTTGACTAAGTTATGTAATTTGCTTCTCTTTATCTAGTTTTAGGACCTGTGTAGAGAACAGATGCCTAGGTCATGTTTATGCAGAAATATTGAACATTCAAAAGAGTTCACAAACTTTCAAAAAACACTTTGTGTATCAATTTATTGCTTGTATTGAAGCTCTCCACAACTTCTACATCTGAGTATGTACCTGTAGCGATAATCATATTCTTCATATCTGTCATATCCTCTGTCGTATCCCCTGTCGTAATAAGAATCACGGCGACGGCCAGTTCCTCCACCTCCACCGCTTTTATAACAAAAAGAGACCAGGTAAGTTATGCAGAAAGCTATGCATTTATTTAAGATCAAGGAGCAAGACAACACACAGTGTATACTACGAAGTCTCTCAATGAAGGAACTGATGAGTCACAACTGACCTAATTTGAAGCAGCTATTAAAATTGGCATCAGATATCCAAAATCATTTACAAAATGAGCTCAGAGGAAAAAAATGAATGTACTTCAGGAAGATCACTGAAAGCCTTCCTTTTCTAGCAACATGTCTGCTCCAGTTGACTGGTACGTGGTCATTCCTGTCTATATATACATGTCTGTAATATGGGTCATTCCATGTCAAGTGGTCTGAGGGTCCCTGCTCAACCATCACGGATTTCGATGAAATTTTTTGTGAACATGTACACATGTCCCCAATGAACATTGGTAAAGTGTTATGTTTGCCGATGCAATACTTGCAGAGATATAGTCATTTGTTTGTCCCCATACTTCAGCCTTCTACAGTATGACTCTGAGGCTCCAGCAACTTTGAGACATACTATCTCCAGCAAAACAAAACTTGGCCACCTTGTACAACTTTTTGTGCTCTATTAAACAAAATAATAAAAAACATTCTCATGAGCTATCTCCATCTAGATAATTTGGGGGCAAAGTTGGATGAAAATATTGTGGCTTGAAAAAAGGTTAAAGTTTGGGTTTTTATATCTCTGGAAGGAAAGGTATGACAAACATGAATCTTTGTGCGTAATAACTAAGCAACACAAGGTTTTCTAATATAAATTTTCATTCTCTTACTGCTTTCCAATAGTTTACAAATTGAGTGTAAAGTTGACAGTTTTTGTAAAAATGCCAAAAATAGGGTATTTTCAGCCTACTTTTACAAAAAAAGACCTTCTGGAAACTCTTAAATCATTCTCATTGGAAAGAACATCTTTCAACCACCCTAAAAAAGTAGGGTTGGTTTTTCATCACTGACGTATGAAGCCCTAAAAATAGGGACAAAGTTGAGGACATTGCTATGGCAACGTCATGTATATCAACATGCACTTTTATATTGTGCCATTGTCATTTCATTTATGCTCGACTTTAAAGTGTGTAATGAATGTTTTGCATGCTACATGAATCTGTTAGTGTACTAGCGGTGCTTCTACACTAATGACTAATGATGTTGACAACTCAGCTAGCAATCCTACTTTGCCCAAATGTGTTGTTGGAGAAAATTTTTCATCAACTTGCCACCACGGTTGATTTTATTCTAACGGAACTGGGCTGCATTATGTGCAGTTTGTCCAACGAAGAAAAAAATACTCATTACTCGGTGATTGGAGGTTGAGCGCACAGACGATGACCAAATCTGCATGCATCACAAAGTGATGTATCTGAAAAAGTATAAATCAAAAGTTGTGCTACAACCCATTTGACAAAGAAAATCACGTAGCTAAACATGGGCTGTTGAAAGTCGATCTAGGCATGTCCAATGATTTAACAAAAGTGACGAAAACAAATGTGAAGCCGGGTCAAAAGATTTGTTCCAAGTGTAAAGCCAAATACATTTCCATGGTCCAAAGCACAGCAGACTCTTCATCGTTGGATAATTACGATATGGACATTTCAGACACTGATAATCCAAATTTGACCGATTTAGGGACTTCTCCATTAAAAATTCAGAAGTTAAACAGTAGGGATAAAACTGGCTATGTGAAATGAAAAATTGAACATGTGCAGAAAGTGGTAGCAGACAAAATAACATTAGCCGCTGGAGTAGCAGCTGAAGATATTGGGCAAACTAGCGAGTCTGCTGCTAAGGAATGCCAGACATGCAGGATTACGCTGACCTAATTGAAGACATGAAAACAAAAATTAAAATATCCAATAGATCAACTAACGTTCAATTATTGACTTTGGCCCCAAAGAGTTGGTCGATACCGGTGACAGCAAAAACGTTTGCCGTTTCAGAACTTATGGTTAAAACAGCAAGAAAAATAAAGAGAGGAATTTGTGCACTACCAGATGCAACAGTTAGCAAACCACTGCCAAAGGAAATCACCAAATTTAGCAGGATTTCCTCCAGCAAAAAGGATTGTTTCCATTCAGCTTGATGGCGTCAAGGTTCACAAACAAGCAGTTGCTACTATGCAATCTGAAAGAACTGTATGTGACGTATTGAAACAAATATGTTACTGAAATTGGTTTCTCAAAATTCTGTGAACTCAGACCAAAGTGGTGAGTCACTGTCTGTGCCTCAGGCACACATTCCATCTGCATTTGCACCATTCATCAAAATGTTAAGCTTATGTTACAAGGTGCCAACATTAAAGAGGACTACAACCTGCTCTTGGGAAAGGCAGTTTGCAATCTGAACACCAAAGATTGTATGTTGCAGCGATGTCAAAACTGCCCTGGTGAAGAGGCACTGATAGCGCATTTAGACAAAATTTTTGAAGACTGGGATTTGGAAGAATCAATGGAATTCAAACAATGGTTTCATACTGACCGCGAAATGCTGGAAACAAATATTCTCACTGTTGACGGCTTTATCGAAAAACTCATTAGCTGTGGAAACTGACTGGCCCTTTGTTTCAAAACATCAATATTTGAAGTCATTGAAAGCCGGCCTAAAAGAAACCGAACTGATTGTACTGAGGGATTTTGCAGAGAATTACTCATTTCTTGTCCAAGAAGCTGCTAAAGGATTTCACTGGGACAATTTGCAAGCCACAGTGTATCCGTTCGTCGCTTATTAAGTCGATAAAGATGGTGCACTGCAAATTGTCAACTGTTGCATAATTTATGATCATATGCAACATGATATGGTTTCTGTGCACGTGTTCATTTTTGGAAGTTGATTGAGTGTTCGATGACTAAAACGAAGATTACAATATGCTACTTTAGTGACAGTTCAGCGGAGCAATACAAAAATTACAAAAAAATTGTCAATCTGTGCAATCACAAACATGATTTTGAAATTGAGGCCGAATTGAATTTTTCCAGCACGAGTCATAGCAAATCACCATGCGACGGATTTGGCAGCAGAACTAAACACTTGGCTGCTCGAGCCAGCCTCCAGTGACCATCAACCAACCAAATACTGATGCCAACAGATCTGTTCAACTTTTGCGACAAAAACGTTCACAGAATTAAATATATATACGTTCTGAAGGAAGAAATCGAAGAAAGCAAGATGCTGCAAGAAAGATGGAAAGTTAGCAGGACAATAGCTGGCACAAGAGATCATCACCAGTTTGTGCCAGTTGATTCAAATTCGATTTTTGTCAACAAAGTTTCAAATGACACAATTAACTTTGTGGCCAAAATGTCCAATACCGTTGATCCAAATTTAAAATTGGCCAACATATTTCCCAGTTGTTATGTTGATTGTATTTATAACAAAAAATGGTGGGTAGGCAACGTTGTAGAAATTTTGATCGAACAAAATGATTGTCAGCTCTGGCAAGCCCACAGGCCCGGAACTGCCATTCGGGCAGGGGAAGCTGTGGGAGCCGCCAGGAATCGTGCTTACCAGCTGGGGATCTCCCTCCTCCACAAGCAATCCAGCTGAGAACTCTCCATAACTGACTGCCGAGTGGTTTCCACTGAAAACACTCCATAACTGATAACTGACTGAGAACAATCCATGACTGATTGCTGGGTGGTTTTCACTCTGGGTCACGAGGTGATGGGTGCGCGTGCGCGGGGGTGGGGTTTAGCCTAAATACCAAATAAAGTATAAAAAGTGGTGGGGACCACCAGATGTCAGCTCTGACAATTTATTCATTGCCTTAGTGCTTTGTTGGTCAGTTCGTGCCAGAGGAGATAAACTGCATTTTCAAACTGTATCTGTGTTTGGCTATTTTCCTTAACCCTTCAGAACCTGACAATGATGCGTTGGTAACATTTATGCATCTGAGAGGCCCTGCTCATTAATTTTGTTGGCCCAAAAGACAAGATGTTTGTTGGGTTCCAACAGAACCACATCTTATTTGCGTGCTTCCAGCGTCTTCAGTTACATTGTAAGGTCGACAGTATCAATTCCCAGAAGCAACACTAAAGAACATGGCGTGTAAATTCAATAATAAGCAAGCAATCGTTGGAATTGGGCAGTACATATGAACAGTATGGACTTCGGCTTGGGAACCATGTAAGATACCCACTTTAGGCTTGTGATCCTAGGATAAGCTGCCCAATTGTTGGCTTGGGAACTGGAAAGATACCCACACAAGGCTTTGGAACCTCAAGGAAGAAACCAAACTTCAGGCTTCAGATCCTGAACCAAGAAACCCACCCATGGCTGTTAGTGCACGGCTATTGGGCATACCCCCTATGGCGATTGGGTTGCTGGCTCAAGTGCCTGAACTGAAGTAACAATGTCACCATGGACCAACACAATATAATAGTAGTAATGATGTCTATATAAAACAAACAAGACGAAACAGTAATAGAATGCATGTGACGTTGCCATAGCAATGTCCTCAACTTTGTCCCTATTTTTAGGGCTTTATACATCAGTGATGAAAAACCAACCCTACTATTTTAAGAGGGTTGAAAGATGCTCTTTCTAATGAGAATGATTTAACAAATTTTCTAAGTGGTCTTTTTTTGTAAAAGCGGGCTATTTTTGACGTTTTTACAAAAAAGGTCAACTTTACACTCAATTTTTAAACTATTGGAAAGAAATAAGAGAATGAAAATTTACATTAGAAAACCTTGTGTTGCTTAGTTATTACACACAAAGTTTCACGTTTATCATACCTTTCCTTCCAGAGATATAAAAACCCAAACTTTAACCTTTTTTCAAGCCGCAATATTTTCATCGACGTTTGCTCCAAATTATCTAGATGGAGATAAGTCATGAGAATGTTTTTATTATTTTATTTAATCGAGCACAAAAAATTGTACAAGATGGCCAAGTTTTGTTTCTCTCAACAAAATATTGCCGGAGATATTATGTCTCAAAGTTGCTGGAGCCTCAGTGTCAGGCCTGCAGTTATATTCCTTTTAGGATCTTTGGCCTGCCACACTCTCGCTTATTTCATTATGCTGTTTCATTAGTGTAGTAGTTGGGAGGGGGGAATAGAAAGGAGTAGAATTGTGGAATGTGTTGTTGTCATTCTTTTGTCTCCGCATCTCTACACGTGACCGGAACCAGCTGGGTGTTGACAGCGTGGAAGAAGAAGATTGGACCATGTGATGGATTTGTGGGTGTGGGGACAAGATCATGAACTTTCAACTGGATGGGAATCCGATGTAACTTCCAGAATTGGTATTCCACAGATGTGCTAAGATGTCTGATTTATTAAATTGGAACTTTAAGGATCATTTTGCCTTGGACTCTGATTTAATTCTACATGATACTTGGAACGCTGACAGGTGTTTTGTTTGGACTACTTCAGCAATATTATCCACAGTCTGAATCCTTCAAATAGAGCAACTTGATTTCTTTG